CCTGAAAAGATAATTTTTTTAGAAATATAAAGATATATTTTTGATATGTAATTTAGGATTATGCTTACTCGTAGGTTGCACAATGTTGTATCATGGAAATTATCGCCAAGTGACATTCTAATAGACAACTCGGATATAGCCAGCGATTCGAATTCATTAATGAATTCATTGGACATTCATATGCAACAGTCGAAACATGATGATAGCGGCGATACCGATACTGATGATTATGCTGACAGCGATAATTAACTAATTGACAAATACACTGATTGACAAACACGATATATAGCTGGAGGAAAAGGATAAAAATTGTCGGTTAATTTTGTTCTTATTCCGATTTTCTTCCGTCACAATCACAGAGTGCTGCAACGTGTCGTACATCTCAAGATAGGCAGCTTCCGATTTTACACAAGTGGATCTTCCGAGGATATCATTCAAGTAATTAATCCTCCATCAAAGAACTGCCGTTATCGCCGTGAGAAGAAGACGTCTTCCTCAACGTCTAAACTCTAAATAACTGTCTTGCACGACATTCTTAAAATAATCCTGCGTACGAACAGGGACAATTTACATTTGAAAGGAGTGACGCTTGCATTGGACTAATTGGGCATCGCGCTTCTTCGTAACTATCTCCAGCTGATGACCGCTTTGCTATCAGCGACACAATAACATGTCATCGACGCCAATGAAATTGTGTATATTTAATGGCCGATGAGCCAGTAAGCCAATAATCCTCCAGCTGTATTACTGCGGTATCACGATCAAGAATCTGCAATAATATCAACGCTCGCGTTTGTCAAGATAAGTCACGCGGAGTAGTTTTGCGGTAGAAACCGCTAATAATATAATCTTCGCTAGCAATGGCGCTACCACGAAAAGTGCTGTATCACAGGAATGTCTGAAAGTCCGACAAATATTTATTCATTCCAATTTTTGCAATCGTCGAATATTATATGGCACTCGTAAATACACGTAAGTACTCGTAAATGTTCGTTGCGGTAACGATAACGCGAGTATGTAACGCTAAACACATGTCATCGCTTCAATCTTGACACCAATTTGCCAAAAGATGCTTTGAAAATTAATTTATAAGATTAATTAATAGCGTCTTTAATAAATTTGGAGCGTGTGATACACAGTCTGATTATAATTAGCTGAGCTCCCAACTGAAAGAAATAACCGAGTTACATTCAGAAATAATAGAACTGATGTTACAAAGTTACTGAACTAGCATTTGTTGATTGACATAGCTTTTTCTGCATGCATTGTCTTTGAACTCTCTCTGCTGCGACAGGCCCGATATCTTTTTTTTTTTTTTTCTCATTGTTTATATCTTGGACTTGTACTCTTCGATAATCTTTTAGAGAAATATGTAACGTTGACGACACCTCTTTTTATTCAAATGCGATATTTCTTTACTAGTATATTTGTTTATTAAGTTACACACACACATACACATAAACACACAAACAAATATATGCTTCGACCGAGGTATATTTTAACGTACCAAGTCATATACAAGGATGTTACATAACATGCTATACAAACTGAAGGAGCATGTTTCTGATGTAGATTAAAATAAAAAAATATCCTATAAAATTTGCAGCAGACACTTTAAAAATTTGTTCTCGACAGATTTGGCTATCCGGGTTATTAATAAACTTTAAACACTCGTAGATAGATAATCGCGTTTATAGGAATTTTCTACTTCATTTTATATTAGAAATATGTTCCTTCAATTTGAATAGTAATATCACATAACACTCATATCATAAAAATACAAAACTCCATTTTTATTAGCTAAATTGATATTGTGTTTGTTCTTGTTAATTTCTCTCTTTACGTTTAATGTTTTATATTAAACGCAGAGTTCTGAGTCATGATATACGAATAATTTAGGCGCGATGTGTATCCCGAATGTGCATCATTTCGTATGTTAAAAGCGATTATATCTAATACAGGATATACATAATTGCGTATAGTACAAATAGATTATATAGATAACGAAATAATTTATATATATAAATTATATATATAATAATATACATAATATATAATATAAGTATATATTATATAGCATATATATGTATGTTAATAATATGTACGAATTATATATATAATTAATATATTAATATATAAGTTTTATACATGTACATACACATACACATACATGGACATTTGTAAGGATGTGTAGTTCACTAGGAGTCTGACCATTGCTGCCCCAATCATGTGATACGTAGAGTGCTGTTAAATATGCTCAGCATACATTGCATATGCCAGATTGTAAATAAAACAGTATATCGAGATGGTCGATTCTTATTTTATTTTATTTTTTTTTTGTTATGACGAGAGTCGGTAGCAGAAATCTTACTGAGCTAAAGTGTCTGTATACCCTTGTGCGTTTGCAACATCAGTCTGGAAAAATCTGTAACTAATAACACTTTTGTACAAATTAACCGCAATAAGTTTCTTAATAACATATTCAGTGGAATAATATTGACGTGCACTTTGTAAATATACATATTGCGGACGCATATACAAAAAAAATTGATAAAATCGCACAGAGAAAGTAAGAGAGAGAGGGTAATAAACTATTTTGTACAATAAAATATCTTTTAAAAAAGAAAAATCCTATAAAGCTGTAATGAATGAAAATGTCCCGTACAGGAAAAGGGATATTCATTTATTGTTATATCGCGTAAACATTTTCAATTAATTAAAGCAATCAGCGTATACAGTATAACCCTGCAGCGTTAGAGAGAAAAAGAAATTGATTATTTTCCTATAAATTTTTTTTCATATTGTATTATTATCACATCAGATTTGTCAGTAATAGCTAAAATATGTTTATAAAAAGGTGTGATACGTACACACACATACATACATACACGCATTCATACACAATACACAAAGAGAGAAAAAGAGTAATTTATTTCACAATCAATCTAAAAGAATAGAAGGAGGATTAATATAAAAATAAGAAAAAATGCTAATATGAAAAAAATTTTAATATTACTTTCGTAAAAAATTAATTTTTTAAATGAAAATTTGTCAAGTATACGTGCGGATGACTTGGCTAATGTATCTATTACTCGTTATACCTATTTGCGTTAGCATTTGAAAATATGTAGTGGCATGATTGGAAACAATACAAGCTTTAATGTGTGTGTGTATCTGTGTGTGTTTTATTTATGTATTATTGTTGACGTGATAAGAAAATTATATTTAAAATTGCATTTATTCTACTCTTCGTTAGTATAACTGAATTATAGCGATTGAAAAATTGTTCTTTGTAGTATTTACTTATAGTAGAAATATCACCACCACAAACTTCCAATGCACGCAACATATTTTTTATATTCTTTCTCTCTCTCTCTCTTTCTCTATTTTTCCTTCTCTCTTTGTCTCTTTCTCTCTCTCTCTCTCTCTCTCTCTCTGTCTGTCTCATATTGCATGTCACTGTGATAACTCGATAGAGAATTAAATGAGATGGTAGAATGGGGGAAATAAATTATACTACATCATATCGATGTTTACAAGCACTAACCGAATAAGAATAAGTACTAGATAGATACATTAGTCAAATAGTATTCAACTGCACGTACTTGATGTATTTTCAAATACGATTGTCTCGAAAGTGACTTTTTACATAAAAAAATATTTTGCTACTTTTCCGAATTATTATCACAGGAATCAGTTTTTTTTGTTGTATTATATTCTATCCTATTGTGTACCTATATACCGAGCTATTGTATGACAATTTCTATATATTTAACAACAGAATGATGATTATAAAATGCTTTTGTTTCCTAGTCATGTGCTTAATTACAATTAAAAGTGAACGAACGTCTACATGTAAAAATGAAATTTTATGTCTTCAATTTTATATGTTTTATGTAAAATGTCGTAACTGTGCATATGTCCGATTTAAGTTAAATAGTAGATCTTCTTCCAGTGATTAACCGAAAGTCAGTTAGAATATTTGCGTAAAACAGAGTGTTATATAATGCATATATCTATTTTATAAGTTCATATAGAAACGAATATTATAATAAAATAATATTAGTTTGTTACATTTTATTATATACAATGTATATTCTCGACTCTGATTTTCTTTTTATCTCAGAGTCAAGTGTTCAAACTATTCATACACGAGTATCAACGCTTTACAGAAAATGTCCCATATAGCTTTAGTAACAAGATTAACCGGCGTGCAAATGATCTCTGACACATGACGATATTTTAAGTTCATAAACACGAAATAACGTATAAAAATCGTTAGTAAGACCTTTACGTTAAAGAAAAAAGAGATTAATAATATTGTAATATTTATGATTAGTTTTCTTCATTGTTTTTGTTATTTTAAGGATTATATCTTAAAGTTTTTTTATTGCTAAATATTATATTGTATCGTTATATCATACCGTTTTATCTTAAATATCTTAAATATCTTTATAAAAAAAATATTACATCTATAAGCCAAAGAAACGAAATGTTTTCTTGTTCTCTTAATGGACTAAATGAATATATGTATACTATGGTGTTATTAATTTATTTAAATAATAAATTGTAAAAAATGAAGAGTGAACAGTTATGCACGCGTGGGTCATGCCAAAACGTTTATTCAATAATTATTATTCTTCCGACAAATCAGTGAAGTTTCGATATTTCGTTAATCGTAGCATATTGCAAGTAGTACTTAAACATAAACCAAAAATTAAAATTTTGCGACAACATTGACGACCACGCGCGCATTTAAAGCTTCCAATTTTTGGCTATTTTAAGACGTTCTCGACCACTCCCCATAGGCAGTAATCAGTATCTGTTTTCAGCCACATCGTTGCCAATATTGTAATGCTGCTGAAACGCGAAATTATGAAAGCGTAGGATTGAATATCGCAGTATTTTGTAAACAAAAATATTATACAATGCAACATTTGTAAAATATAATGAATACAATCTTATATGCTAGTGTGTACGATAATGATCAAAAATAGAAAAAAGAATCTCGAATAGATTGCCTCCACTAATTGCGCAATTATATTTTCCGAATTTGTCCGTCAAAATTGGAAACTCGAAATTCATATATTACTGTTAATTCCACTTAACGTTACTACGAGATCACACTGAAACATTTCAGACAAGACTTTCAATATTATTTTAATCGTTGCAGCAACATTATAATCTTTTAACGAAATATTCTTACACCATTTCTATAGCATATTTGTGCTGTATATAAATTTATGCTACCAGCTTTCTACGAAACTTTCTTCCAATTGCAAAGACCATTGGATTGTATGTATCTTTATACCTCTGAGATGAGTTGAAAATTATATATATTATATATTTTTATCCGATTCAATATGTACTACGCGATAAACCAGAGTAATAACCCAAATTGTTGAATCGAGTATAAAGTATCTTTTCTCGTTTCTCGGGATGGACCTAACGTACAGAGTTACGAAGCGTATGTAATGTTCATTACTCTAGTAGATGTATTTGATTCAATTGATAATCTTAGCATTGACTTGTTGTCTAAGGATTAAATATATTATTGTGCTTGTTATTTATGTCATTATTACGAGAAATGATACGTAACGACAGATAGTTTATACACTGCGTTTATCTGTTAAGAATTCAGATTTCATCGAGTACTGATGATAAGCTGTCAAATTGTATATGTTTTGCACGATATATTTTTATGCGTTAAAGCGGATCGCATTCGTGTGTTGATTAAAACGAAAAATGTCGGTCTCGAAACGTCACTGAAATAAAAGCCGAGAAACTGTTCGTTTTACGTATGTATATGTATGTACATGATGCGTAAACAATTCTCGAATGTATGCGCAATTATTGGAATGCACTTAGATAATTGATGCCCATTTCTACCAATATAGATTAATTTTAATCTCGGTTTAACTTTTTCAACTTACTAGAAAAAGATAAAAAGTTAAACCGAGATCACAAAGTTAATCTGCATTGATAGAAATGGACATATAAGTATATATGTATGTAGTAAACATGGAAAAAAATGATTTTGTGTGATCCTATAACAATGAGTGAAGAGCACATTTAATTCGTATAATCTTGTTTTAATTTTGCACAGTACGGTTTTGTTAGAAAGAGAAATCTATTTAATGGATTATGTCATTTAAATACGTGTCAAAATGTACCATGTAAAAAATCTATTAGCTCTTTCTCTCAGATCTGCCGTTCAAACAACTACAGCAAACAACTCTCTGTTCTAAAACTTAAAATTTTAAGTTTTCTCAAATTCAGCAATTTCCTTCTAAACTTCGCTTCTCGCGCTGCTTTCCTGCCGCTTCAATGCATAACTATATAATCAATTAAAATAAAAGAGAGAACAATATTTATCCCATGTGCCATTAGAATAAAAATGGGAATTGAGAGAGAATCTTAGAATAGAAAAAATGCTTAAATATCTCAAATAACTTGGGAAAATTGACTAATCTTCAAAATCTTTGTATTTTTACAATACGGTAGGATCAAACAATTCCTTTATTATATATTAACTTTTCCTCAGTCCCTACTTTTATTCTGGCATGTGTGTGCAGAATGAAAATATTTTCAATCAAAATTTTTCATGTAATATATGTGTGTAATAATATTTTCATTTTATGCACACGTGACTAGATGGTGATGCACATGTGACGGCTGAAGAGAAATGGAATTTAGACTGGAAAGATTTGTTTAGTCTCAACATTAAAGATCAAGGACACGGCGATATTCGACTGTACTTATAAAAGTGCATAATCATCCAACATGGGGTTAAAGTTCCTGGCTCTCCTCGTTGCATCTTATTGAATTTATTAAAATTTATATCAAAATTTGTTCCTCATATCAGGATAAAGTGATTTTTCACGTATACGAACTCACGCCGCAAATATTATAGTCAAATTTCAGTTAGGAACAAATTTTACAAATTTGCAATACAGTTGAACCATAGATTGGCCATAGAAACCCAGCAAAATCTTTGTGTTTGACAAATTCTATATGATTCCGCAGTTAATATATATGATGTTACGTTTGCAAATTTTGTTAATGGAACATAAATTTAATATGAATGCAGATGCTGCAATTTTCGTTCGAATCTATCTATTTGTTGATAAATTGTTGACAGTTTGCTTATTAGAATAATGTTAATGTAGATTAGTAAAATGTCTTTTTGCCAGGAGCTTTAAGTATACTCGCGCGCTATATATAGCGCTATGTAATAATAAGGATTATTTGTTTGTTATATTTGTTCGCATTGCTACAAATAGTCAAGAAAAATTAATTCATCTGTTCCTTCAACTCAAGATATTCATAAGTGTGAAGCAGCTAAAGATTTTGGCAAGCTTGTACGACTTTCGACTAAATTTTTATATGCTATGAAAGAATTATTTTACAAAAAAAAAAGAATTGTAGTCGTTTCTCTATCACAAAACTTAGTTTTCTTTTTTACATAACTTGTTAAACGCCATTGAGCAATGCCAATCGTATCTGATTTTAGTAAAGTTTTTTTTATCGTAAAAGTTTAATTTAATGTCATATACAATATATACACACATATACGCCGAAATACATTATGCAGCGAAACAACTTCGTTAACTGTCCAAAGATGTAACCCTCTTTCTTCCTCTTGTAAAATATTCTTTTTTTCTAATAAACAGAGTACATTAAGATTCTTTGTTACAAACGCATTGCATACTGTTATACTGTATCTCTCTATAGTATTATGTTTTTGTCAGAGCTAAAAAATATAAAGGACAATAACGAGTAACGTTTAATTATCAACATTATGTAGTCATGTCTTCGATTACTGTTTTTTATTCATTTGATTTGATGATGTATTATCGTTTCAATGATATCACGTACTTGTTCGTAAATTCTTTAAATTAATCGTTCGTACGTTATATTTTTTATTTGAAAAACTTTATACATGTGTGCATGTGTATATGTGAATATACTATTGACTATATGTATACAGAAGTCAACCTTTTCCTCTGGCAAAGTTGCATCTCAGCAGTAGTTATTAAATGAGAACAATTTGAAGCTAATAAGCATAGGCAGTTGTATGCATACACACGTCAATATATAAAATACAATCATATCATATTTATGTAGTTTTATTAAATATTTATAATGATATTCTTTTATCACATATCGATATATTTATTTATATATTTTTTGTGCGTGAGAAAAAATATAAAATTTTACAAATCGATAAAAATAAATGAGAAATGTGTCGATAAAAGTCTATTTATATCAGCTTGATGTATCCAGCTAATATTTTCCTAGTTATAATGTTCTATTTTATTATTATAAATGTTAATCGATTAAAGAAAAATATATTTTGAAGATCCAATAAAGATCCGATATGAGAGATAGATAATGGAAATACACTGTCCGCATAATTGTTTATGCAAATATAATAAATTTATTTTCTCATTTTTGTAGATTTTGAGAAAATAAAATTTTGTGATTTTAAGAAAATGAAATAAAATTGTCATATTTTTTATGGAAATTTTTGATATAATTTCCTATTTGTTGTAAAACATTATAAAAAGTGCGTAATAACAAAAACATATTTACTTACCATTATTTTGTTTCTAAAAACAAAATTGGTTATGTAATGAAAATCATTATCGGAGAAGTTGAAAATCAATGAATGACAGATCGGTACACTTGTCTGTAAATTGACAGATGTAATTACGGGGATGAGCACGAGTTATACACAATATCGTTAAACAAATGCTAATTGCTCATAATCCAAAAAACATCATAAACCTCAGTATCTTTCTTCCATTTTCAACGCTAATTAGTTCTTAGAATGTTATTAAAATACAGTAGTTGTAGTGCATCGTAATGTCTTGCAATAACGGACCATCAGAAACGAGCCAAGAGCCGAACGCTCTTGAAAAAGGCCAAGATTTTTATATCTGTTTAATAGTTTCTGGACATGAAAAAATATACCTTGCCTATTATTTCGTACACGTCCGGTACAATATCTTTTTTTTTATTTGCTTTCAGTTTCCAAACAATCATATCTTTGCATTAATCTAATTCTAATTTATATGTCGCTAAAATTACAAACTTATCATTACAAAATTCCTAACGTGATGTTTAAAAAAATTATAGGATGGACTTTGTAGTATTTTCCTTGAAAAATATTTTTCGCTATTACAAAAAAATAAGTGAATAGTTCTTTAAAAGATTTGACTATTACTGTTCTATAAAAATTCGTCTCTTCTATTGTACGCCGATATAAAATGTCAGATCATTTTATAAATCAAAAACTTACATAACACACATGCGATGCTATATATTACAAAGATTTTGTTACAACGCTACCAAGTACCAGGTATGTGGTAAACACAGTCGTACATTATTTGCGGCGATAATAAAAGTCAACGTGAATTATCATACCTAAATTTGAATCTACCTATAAAACCGGATAGTGTTTATTATGCAATATATAATAAGATCGTGTAAATTAAGAGTTGTGAAATTGTTTGATATTGATAAAAAGATCTAAACGCCGTAGTTTTACGCATTCTCCAAAACTTTGCGGCAAAGAACGTTGTGCCACCTCTACAAGAGATCACATAACGGATGACATTATAGATGAGATATTTATTCCCTCGCGTATTTTATCTAAATTTACAATCAATTTTGTATATCCTACAATATCCAAAGTGAAGAAAAATAAATCTACAGATTGACGTCACCAACAATTTCATCCTAAGAATGTTTCATCATCGAGTTCGAAGATATACGAATGTCGATTTATAAAAGCAGGTTTGTTGTGTAATCTATACTTCGTATAGTATAGAGAATACATAATACGATAAAAATTCAGTTTAAAGATCAGTTTAAAGCTATACAGCAATCGTGAAAATAACAGAAATAAATTATATTTCGATTGTTATTTCGCTAAAATATATTAATAGTTTGTAAACACGTTTTAAAAACATGTTAACTTTATGTTAGCTTTAGAACGCATAACACAATTACCAGTCGTATGCAAAATACCACTTGTTTGCAACTGTAAATAAAAATAAGTTTTACAACTGACTTATAATGTGGGCATACTTGCCGAATTTAATAATCTGTACATCCATTAGAATTATTCTCATAAACATCAAAATGGGTGTTTAAGGCAAGGATATCTTACTTCGTTACTGTGATTTCCTTCTTTAAACTGGACCGTCGTGCGTCGCACATGATATAAAAACATCTTACCAAAAGCAAGATAGCACGTATGTAAGCATGCTATAATGTATATAACTAGACGTTATGAAGAATAAATGAAGGACTAGGAATCTTAATGGATCCTGATGTAATTTGGAATTTTCTCTGTTTGATCCGTTTGTGCCAAGAAATGTTCCATGTTTATAAAAATGTTCCAATAGTGCTTCTTTTTCTACCCATCTGTCGTACAACCATTTAGATAATTGTTCTGGTTCGCGAGGAACCTATGGCACATCATAAGACATTATGTAACACGTTGCTATGCGCATTCGCATAAATTATATTTTATGTTACGTCACATCACTTACCACTGAGCTAGGGAAAAGTCGATAAAATAATACCGTCTCGCACGGAGGTCTCGAACCAGTTATAATAGTAGGCAAGTCAAGCGGCTTACCCTGAGGATACGCTATTGTAATATCAAGAATCCAACTAATTTCTGGATTAGCTACCATCATACCTGTTGATAATAAATATCGCATAATACAATAGTTTTAGCAAGTCTTAATACTGATATAAATAATATAAATAAAATTTGCATATACTATGTGTACATATATATTAACTCGAAATTAATATACGATAATATATAAATAAAAGTATAAAGTTCAATTTTACTTGGTCGGCTGTTTAGGTGTTGAGCCTCCGCGTTCCTGCTCTCTGCTGGCCCGAGAGTATCAAAAATCATTTGCATGGCTCCTACCCTTGGTAGAGTCACATTTTCAAGAATAGGCAGATTATTCTTCTTAGCATACTTTTGTGAGGTCTCTCGTCTTTTGCATAGAAAGCCACCTTCCGGGAAAAGCACCATCCATTTTCTATCTCGTGGTATATAAGAATCTTTGAGATGTTTTTGTAATTGCTTTAAACTTTCTTCCCTTCGTTTACGTCCCTACAGTTATCTAACATATACTGGCTGAAGGTAAACAGATATTCCGCGCTCCGTTACATTACGTTACATTATAAAAAG